GTGTGTGTGTGTGTGTGTGTGTATGTATGTGTGTTTGTGTATTTGAGGGGGATGATAATCAAATGAGAACCACAAAAATATTACAAATTTGTAAGAATTGATGTAAAAAATAATTTTTTACATTATGTTTTTCATCAAAAACTATGATTTAAGATAATATTTTACATATTTTGTGTTTACTTTACGCCAAAAGTTAGATGTGAATATTTTTTTGTTCACTTACATCATCTCCAAGCAACACTAAAAAATGTTTTTCTGTCAAACTTTATGATTTATCATTTCCTCCGTATATACTTTTAACGTTTTGTCAAACTTTCTTTTATTTATTAATGAAAGATAATCAATCCAACATTACAATCAAATATTTGAAGAAATTTTGAAAAAAGATGGTGGCTAAATATCAAATTTAACTTAAAGATTTTCAAATTTCAATTCAGCCTCTCCTTATTATATACTCAAACTATTTATAAATCTATTTTTTCTCTATCATTTTGGGATTATCAACTTACCACCACAATCCTGATATAAATAAAATTATATATAGTTTTATATTTTGTAGGTTCAATTTTTTGTTTATAAAATAATGAAAATAAAGCTAAAAAGTAGAAAAATAAAAAGGTAACTATTAATATGTTAATTGTATATTTAAAAAAAATTAAAAAATAAAATAAAAAGTTTTTCATCAAACAACTTTTTAATTCTTCTTTTATATAATATATATATATATATATATATATATATATATATAGAGGAGCGTTCAAATGAAAACTTGACCCATGTAAACCGTGTAAACCAATCTCATCCGTCCATTTTCTTGATCAATGGCCTAGATTATATTATTTTATTTTAGGAAATTAAAAATTAAAAAATAATTAATATTCATTTTATTTAAGAAAAAAGGGTAGAATCGGTATTCATATCAAAAGCCCTCGTTTCCTATTTCCAAATACTCCAATTGTATTTTAGGAAATTAATATTCATTATTTTATTTTAGGAAATTAATATTCATTATTTTATTTTAGCATGTTCATTATGAAATTATTTTTTCAAATACTCTCATTGCATATGAGTCAATTTTCTAAAAGAACAAATTCCATTACGCACCCGTTTTATTTCATTCTACAAACTAAACGGATTAATTTTAAATACAATACAACTGTGCTCACTACGAAACTAGTTCATCAATCCCCAATAAATTACATAATGAAAATGTTGCACCAACATCAAAGTATTTGCT